CTCGGCTTACCTTTGCTGCTGGTGGATGTTTCTCCAGAACAGGTGAATCTTGGAGCAGCCAGCAGGTAATGCTTCAGAGAACATGTTGCTGCCATCAATAATGGGAATAGAGTCCGCCCAGTGTTTCCTTTTACTTATTCTGACCTTTCCTAACCTTGCAGATAAGCTCTTTCTAACATAACAAAAACGTAGTTTACCACTGAATGTTACAGACTACTAAAGTTTTGCCATGGGACCAGTATTTTAATGATCACTCCCAGTTGGGTTTGTGGTTTTTGTTGCTGTTGTCAACAGCTATGTTTACAATCATTAGCTTAGTGGTTTCCTAGTTATATTTAAAAAGTGTTTTCAGTCTAACTTCACAGACTTGTGTTTCAACAGAGTAGTAGTAAGGTAGGATGCAGCTGTAATTGTGCCATCTGGCTCCAGAGTAGGTCTGATACCATATTGTGTCTTTCCACACAATAAAGCTCCTGGTTTATACACTTGGGATTTTGATTTTGTGAAAATCTTGATCAATAATAAAGACAAGACACGCTTCAGTCAGGTGTTACCCACATTTAACAACCCTTTTCAGTAACAACTTTGATCAGTCCTGTTTACCAGAAAAGCTCAATTCTGTAGTGTGTCTATTTTGGTACAGAGGTTGCAAATAGTTTAAGGCCAGTACATAAAGTGCATGAAAAGCTTCAGCTGTCTAGCCTAACCACACATCATATAAGGACATGGAACTATAAAGCATAGCCAAGATCAGGCCAAGTTTGGGAATTTTTGTTTGGTGTGGATTTTGTGTATATGTCTTTTGGGGATTTTTCTTTAAACACAGGCTAGTTGCAGAAAGGGAAGACGCTTCAAATGAGTCTACTCCAACTGAAAACAGGACATTGGTCTGAATTCTACCTATGGTTTTGTCCTGCGGGCAGGTAGCTGATGGTTTTAAAAAACACACATCCAGACATAAAGTTCATTATATCGTCTACTGTTGCAGTCCACCCAAAATCAGTATTTCAGCTCAGTCTTTTGTAGGAGTTGCTTGTTGGGTACCGAGAAACTGAGGCTCTTATATCAGTGTTAAAGAAATACAGTTACTGGGCAATAATGACAGTTGAGTTAGCTAAGGGCAGTTCAGGATCCTTTACAATCTGCAAATTTACAGGGAATGGAATGGTATTGGGGCTGATGGCTTTAATGGATCAGTTGGAATAAACTGCTTTCCATTAGTATTGTGTTCTGAAAAGGTTACAGTATGCTTTATTTTAGGCATGTACCAAAATTTACCTGTGTAGCTGTTTCCCAATTGGGTATATGCAATACTCCATTAGCAGTTGGCCTTAGAAAAATCCACAGAGCTCACCTGCCACTACTACTGAAGGAGTGGGCACCAGAAAATTTAGGCTTTTTTTTTTCCTCCCCATGTGAGGCCCTAAAGCAGAAATACTTGGCTTTCTGGATTTCTCAGTTGTGAGCCTAATGTAGTAGCTATCAGAATTTATGCACGTGGGCAGTGAAGTAGGTTTAAAGACCTTGTCCTGCAAAAGGTAAGTGTGCGCATTTTAAAATGTTCATGTAATTTAATTGATTATGATAATGCTGACTTAAATACGTACTTCTTTATTCCCCTACAACTAGAAATAAAGTTCACAATTCATCATATGTATCTGATACCTATGGCATGTTTTGGTTGGAGTTTGTGATCTAGCCTGTAGACAAATCCCATGTGAATACCGATTAGGATAGGTGTGTCTCACACTGATGCTTAACCAACAGCAAGTACTGGCATAGCCTCAGTAATGAGACTTTCTGCTATGAATTTACACTTACCAATTTGAGACTGGTAAAACTAATAAAGAATACATGCATACAAATATTTAAAGAAATATTTTAATAGAAAATGTTGAGAAAATTGTTCAAACAGTCTGATTTCATTATTGATAATTCAGTGCACTTGGCACTATCTTATGGCTCCCTTTTTAGACAATGTCACTTGATAGTATCAGTTTTGTTACAGATAAGTGCAAGCACCCAATGAGACTTCCATGCTAGTGGCAGTTTGTTTCTTCAGCAGGTATAATTAGGCATTTAAGCTTGTATATGTAGTTGGTTGGTACAAGTGATTTTTTTAACACACCTGAATGTAAGTTTGCTCCATTGTCATCATGCCATGACCAATGAGAACTTTTTAAATACCAGTTTTATGCGTTTTAGTTACAAAATTAACAAGAAGTATTTGTTATCTAGGAATTAGTATTTGTAGTTACTTTCATAATATACCTCAACATTCCTTTGTTATCATTCATTACAGGCCTTTTAGGCCATCTCTTGCAGACCTTTTTCAGGCTGTAATACAGTAAAGGGACAGGATGTTGTAAGTATGTAAGTGAATAAAACTTCTTTCTAATAGCACAAATAAATGTCAAAACCAAAAAACTCTTCATTTGGAGCACTACCAGAGTGTAACCTCATAATTACAAGTATAGATAAACAGTAATTTGGTTCAACTTAATTTAAAGACTAAGTAAAATGTGTATTTTAAAAAGTTAAACCTGGAACATTAAAGACACTTAAAAAATACCAGTTAAAATGCCACAGAGAAAAATTCAAGTACTTCTTGAGGAAGGTGTCAAAATAGGAGGAAAATAGTAGGTACACAAATAAATACCACAGTCACTAGGAAACAGAACAGACACTCCTTCACCATTGGTCATTTTTGTGGAAGAAAGCTGAGAATTACTTAGTTGCAGAGGATGAAGGTAAGAAAACACTGAATCATACACTGTTTTTCAGCATGTTTGTAGACTGAGTGTATGAGTTGTAAAATTAAGTGGCAGAGTATCTTTACTTAAGAGTTATGATGCTGAAAATACTGAGGAAAAATGCAGCAGCCTCCTGGGCTGCTCTCCTCAAAGGAAAACTAGGAAAAGCAGAGCTGTTCTGAATAAATGCAAAGCATGCAGTTATCTCTTGAGCCAATGTAAATCCACAGTGAGTTTAAGTTGAAAATGTACTAGAACTATAATTTTTCTTTCAGTGCTAGAGAATAAAACAAGGTAATTTTCTGTATAAAGAGTCAGGTATTCAAGACTAAAACATTTTCTTGCATGTGTAACATTGATCCAAAGTTGACTTTTATCCCTCACTGATGTTCTCCCCTCTGCCCCCCATTACCAGTAACTAAATTCCTAGTTTTAACATAGGTCTATAAAGCTACACTACACTGATGGTCTAGCTCCTTTAATTCTAACTAGAACTAAACAGATTTCCTCATCCAGAAGCCTCAGCTCATAGACCTTCTAACAGATCACAGCTGGTTGGGTTTGCCAGACTCTTGAACATAGAGTGATTCTCCTCAAGTGTAGTTTTTGTTTGAACTGCTGTAATAACTGACCTTTAGTTGTCACACAAGTACTCTTAGCATCCTTTGAGGCACAATAAAGGTGATTTAGGTGAGCTCCAGTCATCTTTTATTTGTTTCTGCTCTTTTCTGTTATCTTGTTTCTGTTCAGATTTGGCCAAGTGCTTGGGTATTATGAAAACGCTACCATTGCTACTGCAGTGAATGACATACTGGCATGGGTTAACAGGTCTACCCTGGTCATCCCTCAGTCTGCTGAAAATGTCATGGTACAAGTTGTTTAATTTTTGCTTTATCTGGCTGATTAATTTGCTACACTGAGAGTGCTCCTTTTTAAGGCTCTCCTTCTGTGTTTGGAGATTACACACATCTTCTTCCAAGTTAAGAATTGCATTCAGTTTGCGTTTACGACATTTCTGGGCAGCTACCTTGTTTTTTCCTCTTCGTCTGATGTCACGTAGAAGTGATACCTGAGTTTCTGTCAGCTGGTTCTTTGCTAGCATGGTGTTGAAAGAATCAACGGACATGCTCACAATTTCCTCGACTGAAAATGGTATTCTCAGAGCTTTTGCACGCCATTCATCTCTGCTCCGGTTTGCAGCAGTAGAATTATGGTACCTCTCCTTTACTTCGTTTGATTTCTTCATCCACATCTGTTGATGATGCTCTGGAGTGGATGCTGTGTGACTTGGCAGCTGATTGTAAGTGTGATTATGAAGAAACTGCTGAAGCATGGCTTCTGTAGGACACTGTGCAACACCTGGATATTCCACGTGGCCGTGCTTAACATTTTCTTGGCAGTGGCCAGCAACAGCTCCTAAGCTGTGCGAAGGAGCAGATTTAACACCGCTGCTGTACCCAACAGAATCTTCACAGCAGACTGAATACGAGGTGGTGCTGTGATTTGAGTTCAAAGGTAGTCCTGAATCTGAGCCAGGCTCTTCAAAGATCTGAGAAACTTCTATAGGACTAAAGCCTTCCTCTAAAGCCAAAGACATGAGCTTAATTTCATCAAAATTATCATCATGGGCTGTTAGATTTCTAAGGTCAGCAGCTGAAAACAGCCCTGTCAAATTTGACCCATGAAACTGTGATTCTGGATTTGTGGTATCAGAGCTTGATTGAGGGAAAAACTCTTGCCTTTGTAAGTGTCTTGGTTTTGAATTTAATGGAGTGGGGTAGTCTGTTCTTAGTAGCATGGCATCAGGAGGACTGAAACTGTTCTGAAGTGTCTGGGTCAAGTTTATATTGTGGTGTGAGGATGATGGGTCTTGGCCTCTACTAGAAGTAGCAATCTGTGTATCTTCCAGTAAGTTCACCTAAGAGATGAAGGGGGAAAAAATGAGATCTTTCATAAAATGAATGCATCTACATCCCTCGCCTACACAGTCACGAACATTTTTTAACATTCCGCTACTTGATTCTATTAAAGCCAAACTTTTGTATGTTAAACTCTTCTTGTAGCTATTTGGAATGCTCTTTCCCATCTGTATAAAGCATAATCTGTATTGGCATATGGCAAAAGGAAGCAGGAAGAGTGCAGAAATGACTGAAGGAATAGGAGAAGGACTTGCAAAGGAGAGTGTGGGACTGATGAGGATTGGGGGTAAAAATGGGACTATTGCCAAGTGTACAAACTATGGCCTACGTGTTCTGTCTGATCTGCTCTAAGAAAAATATCCTGCTGGGAGGAGTGGTCATGACCCTTCCCTGGCAGTGGTATTGATGATTCAAGGGTGAGCTGGTTCACGGTGCTACACTGTTAAAAACCAAACTTCTTTTAAAAGAAGATACATAGCTCATCTGCAGAAGTTAACCAGTAAGGACAGCGGTGAAGAAAAGAGTGGAAGACAGGAATATTAAGACTGTGCTTTTGCAGTCCCATTACTTATTTCACAGTTTATGAAGTTTTCAGAGATGCGAGGTGCCACACTTGGTTTAGTTCCATTTAACTGAAGTCTACTGCATCCAAAACTTAGCTGAACTGTTTTACTGATCAGTTTGGAGGTAACATCCCCCCACCAAGTCACACTTTTTGTGGATGTCTTGACTTTAAATAACTACTCAGAGTTTTTTTACAGAATCAAAGCTGATACACAATGCCTCAGCCCTGATGTTCAAACAATAAACTGGACTGGTAATGCTGTAGTAGCACTAAGGCCCACTTTTTGAGGACCCGAGTTAGAGTTGCTGGGTCTTAAAAGCACAAAGCAACTGTCCAATATTTTGTCAGGTGCTTGCTGACAAGCAGAGCAGTCATGTAATAAATCGATACAAAGTACTTGAGAATGTAAATGTATAAAGTAGGAAGTGTACAGGATTCCTCCATAGTTGAGTGTCCTGACTGTGTTTCAGGAAAAACTTTCTAACTGCCATTCAGTGAACATGTAAAAAGCACTTTCCACAGGGAAGGAATGATGTACCATAAGGACCTGAACATCTGGGATTATGGTTACTGGGAGTTCAGGTAACAGGAAGGTGGTCTTGCTTTATTTCTCCTAGGGGGTTACCTTGTACTAGGCCACCTGCAGTCTGTGACACAGAGATGCTATTTTCAACTAATCCCTTGAAAAGACTGATTCTTAGTTAAGTCAGCTATCAAAAGACTTGATACTTAGCAGAAACAATCAATCCATATTCAACAGATAGATTGTCACAAGATGGCAGTGCATTAATGATGTTAGATAAAATATGCAGTATGTTACTGTGTATTGTAATAGCTGTATAAAAGCTACAGCCACATTCCTTTCAAATTTTGAGAACAGAGAAAACTAAACTGATGAACTCCTGCATGTCATTAGTATGCAATCCATTTCCAGAGCTGAACAGAAGAGGAGGCTAATTTATGGGCTACTATCCAAGCTAGAGATTCCCAAAACCAGATAAGCTTGGAGTTAAATGGAGAACACTAATGACCCCAGAAGAGGATCCTATGATGGGAAGTGTATGTAAGATGCCCTTGAAGTATGGCAAAAAAGGAATGTAGGGAGTAGCTTCATGGTCAATAATTGCAGCTATGAGCTGTGGGAGGAGGAGGAGACTTCAATTATGGTAACAACTGGTTTTTGTGAAGGTGGGCACACAGAAAGTAAAATATAGTATCAGAGGGCCACAAGATTAAAAAATACAAAAAAACCCAAAACACTAAATGTGTTTACTGCTAATGCTGACTGACCTGATTTGCAGCAAAGATGATCTGTTCGTGAGAGCAGCAACCCTGTAAGCACTTGACCCAATATTTATGACAAATGTAATCTTTCACCACAAATACCCAATAAATAAATGTGTAATAAATCAGTGTTGCTCTAGAGAAACACACCAAGAGTGACTGCATAAATACAAACTGGTATTACGTTTCAGAAAGGCAACTCTTAGTTGAACTAATTGAGTTGTCCAGTGGCTCCATCCAACTTTGAACACCAGATCACAGTAAAGACACAGCTCTTACACCAAACAAGTTGCTGGGGAAAATTTTTCAAGTAAAGCCAATGAGAGCTGCTGTAAAAAGTGGACAGTAGCATCTTTAGCAGTTTCAGGTAAGTTTTACTACATTGATTTGCCAGTAAATTCCCAGAGCAGGTAGGTAGGCTGTGGTGGTTTTATTTGATAAAACAGAGTAATTGCTGACTGTATTCCAATCTATTGGCAATACCTGTATTTTCTCATTTACCTCTAGCATGTTTTCCACCTGCGATGACAGAAGCTGAAAATAGCCCTCCAAGGAGAGAAGGGAATCTACATGGTTGCTGTTGCTCTGTGACAAAAAGAGAAACGCGGTGTAAAGCACAGTTATTTTGCCTAAAAGGAGGTAAAAATCAAAGTCTGAGAGGAAACAGAGCACAGTGCAATACTGCTGCTGACCCCACCATCAAGTCTTCATCCTGATGGGAGATGACATATTGCTAGAAGGAGCAGAACAGCTCCATGGCCTGAGCATCCCCACTCTGCCCACAACAGCAGACCTGGGCTCTCCTCTGAAGCTGTACCTCCCCACCAGTGTGGAAAAATCAGGTATTTTCTCAAAGCCAAGCTCTCAGGGGGGTGGCAAACAGAGGCTGGCAAGACACCTGGATCAGATGTTCTCAGCTCTCACAAGGTCTCAAGAAAATTGAGTGCTCTTTTCATTGCAGCTCTTAGAGAGAACGGAACTGAAGAGTTCAGTGTCCTAAATGTAATTCTACATCTGAGTATCAAGCTTTATATAAATGGTGAGAGCAGTATAATTTAGCATCCACATCTCTAGTGTTTGTAGGCAAAAACACCCTTGCCCACAAGCAGAACACCTTCACAACAGAGAAAATAAACCCAAATTAAAAAATAATTAGTTGCAAGTGTTTTCTGTAAACCTCTGAATATTTAAACTACTCAAAAAATAGTGGGGGATTGAGGGAAGGAGGCAGTTTTCAAAAAGGTGTACAAGGGCATCATTTACAAAGCATTGTCTGAAGTGAATGTTCACTTCCTCCCCTAGCAAGGAACCCTTCAAATGAAAAGAGGAAATAAATTATTCCCTTCAAAACTTTTCACTACTATTTATCGTAGTGATAAGTTCTGTATCCTCCCTCACTTCCACTTCAGTTTTCCCTTCTTCCCTTTCTTTTTAATCACTTACTTGATTTTTGTCTTTCTCCTCTTCTTCTTGCAGTTCCAGCTGATCTTCTCCTGGAGGTGGACAGCAGTCATCTAAAGCTCCCCGACATGCTTTCAAGTCAACATCCTGAAGACATAAATAAAATGGTTCTATTACACAGCATGCTCTCAGAATTAATCTTTAAAAGGCACTTTTTTTCCTCCAGTGATAGCATTCCAAATAAAATGTGAACAGGTCATGTGGATGAACTGAGTGTGTGGACTTTGGGGGCAGAATAAGACCAGTGTCAGTTCAGGGGGGCAGCCACCACCTCTTGTTTTGGTGCCCAGGCACTGAACCCATCTGCAGTAGAAATGGACAGTGGAAACAAATTCTTCTAAACCAGACAAAGAACCCTGATGTGATTTCATGAAAAGTTTGGACTATCAGGGTCTTCTGGAGGTCATTTCATAACACCATGTCCAAGCCAGATAGATACTCAATGATGGAATCATAAAGCAGGCAATTACACATAACCAGTTAGCAAAATCCCTTGCTTACCTGTATTGTAATAGCAATTCTGTTTCCCATCACTTCCATGTAGAAATTAGCCATTTTCATTTATCCAAATGATGGAGTTTTTTAATCTCCAGTGATCAGATTGTTCAAATTTAGGGGCCTCAGAAGCAATTTTCCAGTTTTATTTTTTTATATTTGTATAATCAGACTTCTTAATTGTTTATTATAAAGGGCTGGAGTACTGCTAGAGTAAGAAGGAATCAGTGCTAATTCCTATTTTTAAGAAGTGTGTATTTATATTTAAAAATATTTTCATATTTCAGCTTTTGTAGGGCAAGTTTGTTATTAAAATGTGAAACTCAGAGGAGTGGCAGCCAGGAAACCAAGTGGCCACACTGCATTAGTTCCAAGTATTCCCAGCAAAATGCTATGGTAGAAGCAGAAAATACAAGTTTTCAACGGCAGCAAAGATAATGAGATAGTGTTCAGTTCTAAAAATCTCAGCAAACAATTTACTTTACAGGTTTGTTATGGAAGCATAAACTACATAAAACCTGCAGTTGTAATAGTCATCAAAACATATAAGAGTTTTTAAATCATTCCTTCATACAAAACACATTAAGAAGTAAATATAAAAAGTTCAAAAACAGGACTCTGGAGAAAAATTAAATATAACCTTAAAACAAACTAACATTATTTTCAATTTTGTACATTCTATTTAAATATTTTAAAAGAATGAAAACTAATTCCATTTTAAACTAATTTTGTTTGTTGGCTTTCAATTTTTCTGTATTTTCTTCTCAAGACTGGAAGAGAACTTTAGCTTTATAAACAGCCATTTGTAAAAACAAATGGATCTACAGGGCACACATCTGTCATTCTGATGTAAGAATGAAGAGTTTCCTTCAGTGATGCCTAACACAGTTTCTACTCATTAGAAATTATATTCCAATACATTATGTCTTCTTTGTCAGCTGCATCTGGAAACGACCAGATGATTTTTTTATTGCCAAACATGAGAAAACAAATTTACTTGCCTAAAACCAGACATACACACATACAAAACAACAGTAACAACAAAACAAACCTCCTAACCAACAGTTTTCTCTATGTAGTTAAACAGAAGAGGGCATTTACTACACAAGACACTGAGAACATGGTAAGTAGCTACGTGCAAACACTCCGATGAGTCCAACAGAGCAGATCACAGACATGAAGTTAGTCCCATACTTATGTGCTTGCAAGATAAGGGCTAGGCTTTAATTTTACAGAGAACCAACCTAATACTTGTCAAATTCATGTGAGCTGTTAATATTCTAATTAATACAATTCATGATCATCAAAAGTGAGTAAGAAGTGAAGGACAACTGTTGCTAAAGACCTTAAGCAGCTCCTCTGGAGCCAAGTGGCTTGGAAAGCTGCTGCTCTGGCAGAGCATTCAGCTCCTGGGTAACACAGCAAATTCATTACTCTACTGGCTGCAGAAGAGGCAAATGCAGGAAATAGTCTGAAATGTGATATCTATAACATGATGTCCCTAAAAACCAACTGCAAGCACTGGGTTTGTATACAGAAGGTATATGAGTCACAAACTTGATTGCTCCTTTTAAAATTTCTAGGGGTATAAACCTATTTCTTTTCCCTCTGCCAGGAAAAATAAAAGCTTGGGGTAGCTTTGGGAAGAGCCCATGATGTGTCCTACAGATCATTCAAAATCCTCACAGTTCAACTTTCTTATGGTGGAAATCTGCAGATAATGATGGTCTGCTCAAGTCTACAATGGAGATGGTCCTTCCCCAAAAAACCACTGTGAGGACAACTAAATTTCTGATGTACCTGATGATCTCCTTTCTGAAGGGAAACTAAATGCTCCTGAAGCTCAGGACAGAAATTCGTGAAAACTGTCTTGTATTAATTTCCCCAAGATGTCAAAGATAACTGAATTTTCAGGTCTTTTCTTGTCAGTATATAAAACTGCTGGCTGCTAAGGAAGTGGAGAATATTCCCCACTAGAAGTTTTGGAATTTATCTGGAGTCTACATTCATTTTTATCTATCTTTTACGAAAAAATATATGCCTATTTTCTCTACTCAGCCATGATGGTGTCATGGTACCCATAGTTTCCAGGCTGAGAGCCACCATCTGCACTACAGCGCCACCGTGATATTTTCTGAAAAATCCCTTCGCCAGGGTTTTTCTCCTGAGAAAAAAATGTAAACAATAATTATCTGATTGCTTTGGAATGTGGTCTGGAGGTTGTTTACCAACAGATGCATCTTTAATTAGTTCCATGTGAATTGTGTTGACTTAATGACCAATCCCAGTCCAGCTGTGTTGGGATTCTGGTCAGTCACAGGTGGTTCTTATTAATTTTTTTTCTAGCCTTCTGTCTGTATCTTTTCTCTACAGTTTAGTATAGTTTTAATATATAATTTTTAAAATATAATATCATAATATAATAAATCAGCCTTCTGAAACATGGAGTCAAATTCATCTCTTCCCTCATCCTGAGACCCTCACACCCGCAACACTACAGGATCACAAGCCATTAAAGGACTCTTGGCCTTAAGCACAGAATGGAGGTCAGAACCTCCCTCTGATCTTTGCACAGAGCTCCTGCTGATGTGGATGGAAGAGAGGTGCCAGTGGGGAAGGGAGGGAAGCAGGGTCTCACACCTGCAGCCATGCCCATTCCTGTAGCTTACCAAAGGGAATGTGCCATCTCTCCTGAGTGAGCGTCATAATGCTGCACTGTGTGGCTCTGAAGATTAGTCTTACTAACACCATGTCTTCCTCCAGCAGATGGTATTAAAATATACTCATGGCTGTTCACAGCGATTATTACTACAGTAAGTTTTCCATCCTTAGAAAAAACCTGTTTTCACCACTACCAGAGCACTTGCTGAAGGATCCTGGCGCTGTAGCCAGGTTTTCACAGCAGTGGTGGAATAGCTACAGCACACGTAAGGTATTTCACATCACAAATTTTCACCTACGGGATTTCAGCAAAACCCTCTAAACAGCAATCAACCAGAACATTTTTGCCTTAATTTCTCTGTTTGGGCTTTTCACAAAAATCCCTTGGATTATGCGGGGTTTTGCATAAACCAGGTATCCCCTGGTTTTTTGCTTTTTATTACACTTTGCACCAGCTTGTTAATCTTCCTCAGTGATGAAGAATGACTGAACAGCACAGCTCAACAAGAGAATGCTTCCTTCCATGCCTGTTGTATCATGTGGGACTGACTGCTGGATTACTGCTATGGGGAGAGTAGGAGGGGTGTCTCCCCAAGAAACAGCCACACTCTGTTTTTGAATAAGGCATTTCATTAAACATACCTTAATTCTACAGATTGGATGTACATCTAATGACAAAAGTTTTATTACAAAGGATATTAATCTAATGGAAAGAAGGATTAGGCATAGCTACTATTTATTCAGCACTGTGCTGACACATTCAGTGTTTCTGTCCTTCCCATCCTTATTTTGCCACAAGGGTAACAGAAGAAACAGTAATTGAGTTACAGCAATACCACTGAGCCCAAGAAATCGGTAAAGTGTGTAGTTGTCTCTGTATAGAGAAAAAGACTTAATTTTTGCTGATTGTAGAAGACTTAACAATACCACCAAAGCCATCTACTGCAGGAACCTTTCCCTTTCTACCGCTGGAGGGTGTGGAAGTTCATGCCTCCAGCAGTAGGCTGTTTCCAAATGGTAAACTGCAACCCTACCTGAGGGCAACCTTCAATTTGCATTTGGAAGGACTCATGTGCAAGCACAAAGCCAGAGAGTTACACTAAAATTCTCAACATAAAATAATAATAAAAAAATAAAATCCCAAGTATCTGAAATTTTCATCTTGCTTCTGCCACTTACTATTTTCAGTTGCATTAAACAATACAGTCTGAGACTGAATATGATTTACCAAATTATCCACCAGCTTTGTCTGTGGGGGGCTGGCCTCTAACCGTGCACCTGCCCTTTCCCTAAGGTACAGCTATAGGCTTCAGTTTGTCAAAATGAGAAATAGTAGTTTATGTTAAATCTGCTACTTAAGGAGGGCCAAGAATCAATGTGGAAGTGAGAGAAAGTATGGTTTTGTGGGTGGCCTAGCCTACACTTAATTGGAAGCATGCTGCCTGCTCCGGCAGGATTCCAGAGTTTCTTACTCTATGTTAAAAATAGAGCCTTCAGATTCCAATTAAGTAAATCATAGTATTGATCTCAGCATGAACTGGGTGTACTGTACATCAAACTATCCTCCACATGTCTTGTCCCCTTGCTTCCTACACCCATGTCTTATCTGCTGTCCTTAAAAGAATGTACAGGGAGCAGAACCTGTAATGAAACCAAAATAAAAAAAGGTCTGCCGTGGTGTATTGGATGGGTGAAGAAGATCCCTCTGAAGGAGCAGCAGTAAGTGTAATAAGTCTCTTTTCAGCTGTTGATCTTTGTGCAGTTGGCACACAGGACTAGAACTACACAATCCAGGGCTACAAGTGCACAGAAATACTTGAACTAGCTTTGGAGTAACAGAAAGGCCTTGCTGGAAGAGAGCAGAGCAGACAGGGTGGCTTGCCTGGGTGCACAGACAGCACTGAGAGGCAGGGGGTACCTGCCCCTGCAAAACAAAGCTGTTTCACTGCAGTCACACTCGGAGTTATCACTACAAATATCCCAGTGCTGGAGCAAAGGCACACAACCACAATTACTTGCAAAAGAAGTTTGGGGTTTTTTTTGGTGCTGTTTACTCACGTATCCTGTTCATGTGATATCTTCTAGTTACTCTACATTATGCTCTCTTTATTTTAGTTGTTAAGTTTTAAACTGCTCCATTGATGTCATTAACATTTGAGATGGTTTTCTACAAACTTTTGTCCCTCCTCCATTACTAACTGCACTTCTCTATGGAACTAGCTCTCTCCTTGTTATTAGCTGAAAAGATGTGGCACAGGCCTGGTGCTCTTTGCCACATTTTGAATAATTAAGTAGCATTTCCAGAACAGAATCACAGAATGGTTTGTATTGAAACAATCCTTGAAGTTTGCACAATGCCAGCAGAAGTTAAGCAAAACAGCTCCTAGTAACATAACCAGTAGTTTCCTTCTACTACTTGGCAGGATTAAATACAATTAATAATTAAATATAATGATGTGTATCTGATATAATTCAGCTCTAATTTTAGTGATCTTGCTCTTTGCCTGTGTACTTTAAATATGTGATAATAATCTTACAAACTGATATCTACTTAATAGACAAGAAAAACAGAAAGGAAAATATTTCTTGCTGTTTCTCTATACTCATAACAAGCCCTAAAATATCCTGAAAACACCAGAACAGAAGAGTACTTTATTTTTTTCAATGCAGCTAGGGTTTAGGATGTGTGGAGGGTGGAATGGTGGACAGACACACCAAATATCAAAGTAACTTGCACGTTATATATGGCTAGGCTTAACAATGACAATAAACCATGCTAGGTAAGCAATGCAACTGAGTAAATCAAATGGTTCATACATGTGACTCCAAATGTGGCACCTGTAAAACATTTATGTTGTATCCACTCTAAATCCTAATAATGCCATCTGGGCTGCCACCCAACACTCCCGGTGAGAGCCCTCCTGTGTGCTGCAGTGAGATGATAGCACCTCTCCAA